TCCTTGGCCGAAATTTTTAACCTTGATAAGAACCCAGTAGCTAGACAGCGGGTCAGATGATATAGGAGCCCATCTACTTAGATCTATTATTCCTTCCTCATTTTGCCCGTTGTGACACCAACTCAAGTTGAGCCTCCAACTTAGAGGATCAGGAGAATGAACTGTGCGCCCTCTACTCACCTTTCAGGCACGGTATTCATTTTCGCTTGATAAAAGCCATCATACGTAGCTCGTCCTGTTTCTGAGGCACAACAGCCAGTAAATCGAGTCAAGACATGGTCTCTTCGTGTATTATTTACTCACATCCCGCTTAGTGTAGCAGAAGAGCGTATCACGGAGAGTGTACCAACCACAGCAACCTTATGTTGTAAAAGTGTGGAGGCGTTTACACAATTAAACACCCGAAACGCGAAGCCGTGATGCACCACATAGCCGTTTCGCTTGCGCTCAGTACCATTAGCGTTGTGTATCCGTCGATCCCACTGAAGATCGAGTCCAGGCCCCCACAGATAACACAAACATATCAACCGTGTGATCACAATAATTAGATTATTTTTCAAGTCTTAGTGCTACCTCAGTGATCTTTGGTTTGTTTTTAGTTTTTAAAACTGCTTATAACTTTGCACCGGTTAATGTTGGCTTTGGTTGTCTTTTGACTACCCGTTGATTTACCGATAAGGTAATGATTTGAAGCTAAGAGCACTGTCAACCACAGAAAGCAAGTTGACTATATCTGCCTAGATGTTTCAGTCGAAAGCGCGCCATTTCCGTCTCGTTATGGTTTCACTTTTGCTAAGTTCATAGAACTAGGGTGTGCTTTTGAAATTATTTTACTGTCCCAAACATTAGGATGCATTGCGTCCCCGATAAGAGTTTTACAGAAGTGGTTTTGTTTTAATAATTACAGTGCTTCATTCCACAAAGCGATTGGTAGAGATTGAAATACCCGTTTTCCAATCGCAATAAAAAGGTAAAATACCAAGGGGAAGCATTTACAATCTATCCTGTTTATAAATTCTTGTTTCTTTGTTGGTTTGAAGAACCGTTGATTGGAGGATGATGCTTCGCAGTTTAGCTTATCTGGAGAGAGGATAATTGGAAGTCAGCTGTATGGGACTTGAAAACACTTGATAGGGAGTGATTACATATCTGGTCTCTCGATCGGCAGTGAAATATCAGAGGAAAGAATGCCGGTGGGGATAGGCCAGATTTGAAAAGTCCAAACTGAATGCGGTAGAAAGAGACCAAAAACCAACCGATGGGCTGTTGAATGCACGTTTAACATCCACGAGGAGTTATCAAGAAAGCGAATCGCCCTATATTAAATACAATTAAGCAGAGGTAGGAAAGAAAAGCACCACTCCATGCATAACCACATTCAACGTGGAGCTATTCGCCCTCTTCGAGAATCACTGCATAGGCTTCCCGTTTACACAACACTTTCGGGTCCTTCCTACTACATGCACACACTAGTGTATTTTTTTTTAACTTGTTTGCTTCATCCAATGATCACAACCGCTTTTTTGAAATTTAAAACTGAATATGAGGATTAGACATCCAGCTCAAAGATAACGCAGTTTCCTTGTGTTTTTCAGGTTCTTGGACGTCGTTCCGAAATCCAAGCACAGATTGAAAAGCTAACGGACGATATAATCAAAACGCAGTCCTCTTCGGTTAATATGCACAAGGAGGACGCTATTAATCTGTTATTGGGTCTGGTAATGGAGATTGAGCCTCGTCTGCATCCGAACTACCGAGTCGGGGCCACGGTGTAATAGGCGTGGATCCGATCCTAGTGCACCTGTTTCCATCAGAGATCGATCATACTGGCTTTGATGGATGTGATAACTGTTTGCTGTACTCTCCCTGTTGCAACAGGGACCATTCATCTCGCAACGCATAATATCCCCTTCCTAGTGATTTTGGATATTCATTTATTTGATCAACCGAATATACACCTTCCAATGTAATGATTTTTGATGTTGCTTATCTGTTTCATCGTTGTTGGTTTGTTCGTGCTAAAGGGTTGTTTATGGGCCCCATGAGTGGACCTGATGCGGTTTGAGGCTACAAGTTATTTTTGACTTATGCTTTGGTTTGCAACCTGCCAGTATCACGCCTAAAACTAACCATGAATTTACTTCATGTTGCAGTTCAGTTCAGTTTGTACAACCATTAACCACGCAAATTTGTGCACCGGTTTTGGTTGTCCATTTCATGTTACGGGTTAGTGAAAGCTGCTCTAGGCTCCAACCCGACAACACATGACAACACAACTGCTTTTTTTGGGGGGGGGGGGGTTCGATACAACTATCAGATGCATCTTTTTTCAACAATATGAGTTGGGCAGCAACCAGTGAAGTTCGCCTCACTGTACTAAGCTGTACGATGATGATGATGGTGATGAGTCAGTTCTATGGTGCAATCAATCGATATATAATTATATTTTTTCACAACCGCCTGAGTTCAAACTGTTTCCTAAACAAATCACGGCACAAGAAAAAGGTTCCATGGTTTGCTTGAGCGTATCATACTGCTAAGCTGCCCAGACCAAAGCAGGTGAATTTTCTCAGGGGATTTACAACCCGAGCATTCAACTGGTCAAAGCCTGACCCGCAAGGCGGCAGGGCTGTGTGTGAAAACCAATCCATAGGGGACCAATTCATCGGATCCTACACCCCTCGGACGGGGTCAAACTTCCAAAGTACCCAATCGAGCCGGTGACCACAACTACGAAGGTGTGTGCTTGGTTCGTACACTTCTTGGTTGGTTTGGGATCAGGGTTTTTAGCCAACTCTCCCAGGTGAACTGCCAGTGGTTAACCAATCCAGTTAAAGCCCTGGATGTTAGTGCGAAGGCAGTGAATAGAGCTTCCTCAGCAGAAGCCAGTTGAGGCGCTTCGTTGTATGGGGGCATTTTGTGAGTTGCGAGGAAGGTGTGACTAACCGCGACCGGAGACACCCACCCCCGGCCATACTGAGGCCTTCGGATTCAAAAGACGTGTCAGTAAGATAAACTCAACGAGAAATCGCGATTCCCATTAACCGACGTATCAGTATGCTAATTACTGGGTCAACTGTATGCAGAACATTCTACA